ATTATGCTATAAGTTTTAAATTAGAATATAGTTTATGCAAACTAGAAAATGAGATATTGAAGGACACTAACCCGGATACTCATCAAAATTTGATAAAAGATCATAATCTGTTCTAAATCTCTAACATTTCTTGGAACGTTACATGAAGCCACTTCAACAAATAGATATATTCCAGGAGAATACAATTCCATAATACATACTGACATTTTATAACCACGAACAATAGTGACTATTCGTTTTTTTTCATGTGATTGTAACTCTTTTCCACGTTGGTTGATATCATAATCGATGTCATCTTTTGCATGAGTGGCACCACGATAAATGTCCCAGTTGACTTTATGTGAGTCATTTTGACGTTTCGGACTAGTCACTTCACCAAATACAGCCGTACGAGTTCCATTTCTATTATTTAGTTTGTAATCGGGTTTTCGACCATGACCTCGGCGTAATTCAGATGCATAAGACTTTACATCTATCCTAAAAAATAAAATAAAATGAATTATATACTAAGAATTAAAGTAATTAAAGTGCAAAATTTTATATATATACCATGAATGTAATTAAAATAATGAATCGTTCTATTAAAGAGTGGTGCGATATAATCTACCACGAATATTCCTTCTGTTAATTCATCCAAATTTACTATGGGATCCCATAACACACATTCTTCCAATAGTCTAAAAAATGTTCTAACTAATAACTTTTCATCAACTTGTTTCCCAATATCACGTTTAAGAAACCTCTCAATTTCCTCCAGACTACATTGTTGATAATCCTAATAAAATATATAGAACTATGAAACAATTTATTTTAATATATTCACCAACCTTCTTGTTTTCTTTTACATACTCCTTAACTCTATCTGGAATTTCTATTATTTCGAATTTTGATAAGACATGTGATCGAATATCAGCGATTTCATTTGTCGTTAGAAAACCAGTGTATGTTGGCCTCCTTTCTTGTTGAAAGTAAAAGATTGATGAAGCACAAAGTATGTTATAGATACTTTGCTCTGATGGATACTGAACTCCGTTAATTAATTGTTTAAGGGCATGTTGTTGCCACTTCAATAGTTTAACTTCCCAACCATTATTAATAGTTCTTTCGATTGTTTCCGTGACTATCTCTTGGATTTTTGTTATATTAGAAGGTTCAAAGAACATGGATTCTTCCTGTAAATAAATAATATACATTATTAGATAAATGTTTCCTTTATGTGACCATTGTATAAATTTATTAATACATCAAATTCTTCTTCATCGATTGTTGGTTCAGTGTATAATGGTCTTTTCTCAATTCTCTAAACGGTGCACCAAATAAATTATGTGATTTGTTAAATATAAGAATCAAATCGGTTATTAAAAGAGAACTTGAGTTATTACCTTTTTTGTGGGTGACAATACGTCTGTATCATTCTTGTCGTGAAATCTTTTCGTTTTTCACCTACCTGCTCTGTATGAACATCAAGAGTTGTAGATAGTGCATACTCTTCAACTTGTTTTGTTGCAACAGTAGCGATTGTTAAACGTTGCTCTGCCTACATATAGAGAGAAAGAATGAAATGACTTGAATTTTATTGATGAAAGCTGAAGAGAAATACTTTTTATTACCTTCAATCCACGAACTTCT